TTAATAACGGCGAATATTATCTCTACTCATATAAAATTTTTATCAATTTTTAAGTTAATAGTGTTATAATTTTGATTCAAATCTTTAAATTATTTATTCACATTTATAATATTACAATTTCAACCGGGTGGCTAAGCCGCCCACATTTGCAAATTTTAGTTCTAACTTTAAAATAGCTGTAACATTAAAAATGAGGCTAAGAAAAATACCAGCGCGTATATTACTGTGCTAATTACTATGTAATGAACCTACACACGTTCAAAAGATAAATAAAAAAACGTCGATTATTTGTAAAAAATTCAGATTTAAAGCTGAATCACTTGAGAATAATTACAATTTAAGTTATGCATTCTACGTTCTAGGTCTTAAAAGGATTCTAAGTTCTCGCCAATGATAAGATGAATCACAAAATAAGTCCAATTCTTGATCTTTATTTACAAATTCCATGTCATATTTCATTAAGACTGTAACTAAAAGAACTTTTAGTTCAGTTAATGCCCAGAGCTTTCCCTGTTAATGTAAATTATATAAATTAGCAACCTTTTAAAATTATTTAAATAATTCATAAATTATATAAATTTTAGTACTAATACAAACCGGACAAATTCTAGCACCTCCACCAAATGTTGCAAATGCACTTTTATTATTATCTTCATTAGCATTCATTGATCGCTTATTATTTTCATTCTTCAAGAACCTTTCGGGATTAAAATTTTCTGCATCAATCCAATCATTTTTATTAATATTTATTCTCTGGTATTGTAAAAAAAATGTTTGTCCCTCTTTCCATGGATATCCACCAACTTCAACAGGTTCAGAATTCGATCGTTGCAGATATGGAAATGGAGCGTTTAAGCGAAGTACTTCTTTAATTAAGGCGTCACAATATGATAGTTTTTCTGTATCTTCGTAAAGAGAAGTTAAAGATATTGAATGTCCGAATATCTTGTTGATTTCAGAAAGTGCTTTAGCCTTTACAGAAGGGTGTTTGCATATATAATAAAATATTAAACACATTGAAGTTGCAACCTATTATGAGTTAAATATTAATATTATGAATATTAGTATTATATTCATTGATCATTATACTAATACAAAGATTATATTAAATAATTAGTTACTGATTCAATGGAACCCAAGAAAATGTCTCTAATAACACCATAAATTTCATGATCATTTAATGGTCGGTTTAATAACTTATATGAAGTATGTTCTAGATCCCGTGGTGTGTTGGCAGTAAGGAGCAATGTTAAAAAATCGGAGGGCAGTAAATTATAGTTGGATAATGAATTGATTTCTGCACGTCTTTTCTGAATTAGCTCTGCTAAAAAGTCTTCTAACTGTTTTATAACGTTTAAAACCTTGTTGTCAAAGTAGCTTATGCCAGGAGCTCGTCTTATAAAAGATGGGATTAAAAGGAGCCCTTAAGTTAAGAAAAAAAAAATATATTTATATAAGAATTTAATTATAATGGCTTATTTGAAATATACGATATATTGTATAAAAATTATTACATTGTCCTGATTTAAAAAGTGAATTAATAAGATAAATCAATTTCGAAGATCGTTCTCGTTCTGAAGTTGGAATATTATCGAGATTATGTTCATATCCCAGAGAATTGAAATAAGAAATCGTTGAGTAAGTAGATAGTCCAGTTGCTGTTGCAACCGCTATATCCCCAGCAAACTTTTCTAGCCATTTAGACAAATCAACATCTCGCTTTTCATTTATCATAATATCCCATAATTTAAACATATCTGTAGCCTTTTCATGTGTTTTTTCGGTAAGCATTCTTAAAAATTTTTTCGACATTGCCCTTTTTATGAAGAATTCGCGATTGATTTTCCATCCTTCCAAATTTCTATTAGCAATTATTCCGCAATCTTCCATGATCAAATCCTGCCATCCAGGATTTGGTATGTCACGATATAAGAATTTATAACTAAGAGCCACTGAAGTGGAGTGAATTGGATGTGCCACTTCACTATTTGAAATCACGAGAATTCGTTTAGAACCAAACTGAATTTCACAAAAATCACCATATTTCGATTGAATTTCTTTTAAGTACTCTCCGATATTTAACTTATGTCTGATCAAATCTAGGGTATTTCCTAGGATAGGCACCCAAGGAAATGGACCAGGAAGCGGATTCACTCTAGTAAAATATTTATAATAATATCTAATTACATATAGAAATAGTAACACAGCAATTGAAGTTGAGAGATTGGTAGTTATAAGATTTATAAAATGCATCATTGTTATTATAATGTTGTTAAAATGTAAGAACGAAGGTAAAATAGATTCTAGCGCTTTTTATTTTATTCGAGACAATTAGTTGACGGAATATTCAGCTACGCCACTGGACATTTTAGGCATTTCTTACCCAAATATATCTACTCCAATAAGACATTCGTATGCACATTAGATATTAAAGATTATAATTTAAGAGAGACTGTCTACAGTATTTAAATACATTAATGCGATTCGGATCCCTTTGATTGTTTGAGCAATGATCGTCAAAATGTAATTACGATTGTTTGATGGATGATTATTCTCAAACAATCAATAAGATCCAAATCGCAATAAAGGAAATTTGTGATTTTAGATTTTTTGCTCCATACGTACATACTAGAGATGTTATCCTGCTTAAATCTGCTAGTTTGTGTTTTGAAACCCGTTCGAACACTGTTTTGAAACATATACGTAAACTGGGTTTCAAAATCTGGTTTAAACTATTTATATGTATATACTATTAATTATGTACGCTTAAACATGTTAGTTTAAAACCTGCAGTATATTTATTTATACCAGTACGATCACATGAAATGTGGAGGGATGGTTGCGTTCAACTTTTTGGTGCGCTATATTTTTTCCTATT